TGAGAATCAGCGACGAAACTTCATAGTACGTGGTACATGCTCAAACGCGCGCACCTTTCCCTCTACATGATTCAACCGGCTGCGCACCGGTCTCATCAGGAGGCGATCTGCGATTCCCAGCCTTTCGGCTCCCACCTGCACTATACCACCCATTACTCAGAAGCTCTGCACTATGCCTACAATGAACGGCAGACAGCCCGTTTAGAAATCCACATGACGATTCATCTTCTGGATTTATTTTTTTCAGGTCCGTTCACAGGGTTGCATCTACCTTTTTCCACCGATTACAAAGTACGTTCATCGTAGCTATACGTAGACTGAAAGATGCCTATAATGACCCTGCGTTGTATTCGGCGGAAGAAGGTAGCTTCTTCTATTCCAACGATTCGTGGCTGAACCATCAAAAATAAAAGGGAAATACAAAAGAAAAAGAAACAAGGGAGGTAGACCCGTTGGTATCCCTCTGCATTTTTCATATTTGAGTGCAAGCCACGCAGACAATCCGCTGAGCACAAGCTGGGGTTAAAACAATGAATGGGACGGCGGAGTAATGCTCTGGGCTCGTCTTCTGTTTTCCCGTCTATCATATATATATGTCACGACGACATGTTCGGGAACACACCCTCACTACCGTCTTCCCCCGAGCATAACGCACCCGGATAATGAATTCATCAAAGCTATATTTCCGGTCAGATACAGCCAACATAAGGGTGCGTTGTGTCCGTGGGGAGACGGTACTACATAAGTAGCGTATGTAAGAATTGCACGTGTTCCAGCATATAGCCAGATTTTTTAACTGCCGTAAAGTTTACAGTTAAAAATAGTTACTGCCACCATTTACTCGAGCTTCCATTTGCAGAAGCTTATGCCATTCCTCCTTTTCACATTCCAGGACCGGGCACTTGTCCGACCGAGCTCTGAAGTTAATTGCTGTCACATCCAAATCGCTGTCACATACATACATCCAAATAGGACCGTAATTGCAGTCAGGAGCATCAATGAAAGTCCCAGTGAGGGCATAAATATGCCATCGGGGTCGGCAGGATGGCCATGGAGCCGCTGCTAGGTGAAGCCAAGAGGGAAAGAACGCTGTCAGTTCGTGGAGAATACAATAATATATGAATAGATGCAGACCGAAAGAGGGATTTATGAAATAGAAAACAGGAAGAGGAGAAGATTTTGTCCTTCGTTTTGTGCTGCCTTTCACCATTCGTTCATATATCCTAAACAAGAGCAGCGGCTGCCGAAGTACACACTTCTCCCACCATCACCACCGCTTTCTCTCCGTTATGGTTATATTGCCTTCGGCTGACCAAACAGCTACTGTGATTTCTGATGCCTGCTGGCAGCTTACCTTATATATGGTACACATGATTTTTGTAGTCCACAAGGAGAGAAGTCCCGGCTCCGGATGAAAAGCAGGTCTTTTTGAGGTAAGATGATTTTATCTTCACGAAAGGAAACCAAGTACGCCTCCCAATTGGCTGAACGTCACACGCTCGTCTTCGGCAGAAAACCGCCCCTACCGCCACAATGTGTAAAAATTTGATTTCATCTTTTATTCTTCAAGCCTAGAGACCCTCGACTCTGAACCGACATGAGTGAACGTCCTCATTGTCCTAATTATAATCTTCGCAGGCGTGAAGGCAAACTCGGGAGATCGCTTGAAAAGATTTATGGTACCAGGGATTCTGGAGACTGACAGTACTCTTACCGTCAGTCCCCTCCCTCTCTTCGTGAGTCCCTGAGAATCAGGCCTGGACCCCACTGCCCGACGGCTGGAAACTGATATTGGCCACAAAAAACGGCCCAGCATGGTTGGAAAGAAATTGAGTTTCATTGGGACCCCACCGCCACCCTTGACGCACTGGAAACGGATGGACATGCTCGAATAGGAAATCAGCTGGGGTGTTTCCGAAAAAGGCAAGTTCGGCTGGGGCTGTGGTTCATGGCCTTCTATCAGCCTGATCCGGAACATGTCCGTGCCGCACAAGTACCATGCAGCACACAATGGCCTCACGGAGTTGTGCAGCACACAATGGCCTCACGGGGTCACTCGGGCAGCACGACCGCTGCGCACGGAAATTACCGTTGGGAGCATCGGCAGCTGACCGGCCCCCCCCACACTCCTGCCATCGGAACTATTTTTCCCAGCAGGACCACCCAGAGTGGGAGTGCGGGTATGAATCACTGACGGGAAGCCACAGACACAGCATTGCCATGTATCCACCGGATGTGGGCACAGGTCCACAAGGGTCAACGCCGTTCCCACAGACACAGCATTGCCATGTATCCATCGGATGTGGGCAGTTCACCATGCCATTCGTAAGGTGAGGGGAGCATGGATGGCCCAGACCCTCAGGTCCTTGGGAGAACCGTGCGACGGCAAAAGAAAAGAGCATGTCCGCAGCCCAGTGGGGTGCAGGCCTCAGTTGGGGCTGCCGGCCAGTGGGGTCCAGGCCGCCGGTTCTCCAGTGGGGCTGCCGGCCTCAGGTGGGGTCCAGTGGTGCCAGCAGCCCCAACTGAGGCCTGGGCTCAGTGGGGTCCAGGCCTCAGTTGGGGCTACCGGCAGCAGCGATACTTTCTTTGTCGAATCCGAATGTCAGGTGTGTGGAAAAATCTGGCATCGCCTACGAAAATATCGGAGGCTCGGAGCACTTGAGGGAGACGTTATGCCGCCTGCCGGCTCAGGAAGAAGCGATGGATGCGATGATCCAGACTATATTTCTTCAGAATGGAAAACGCTACTGGGCGGGGAAGGGGAGAACCCCCCAGGCAGATGGCTCTGAGGCACCACAGGGAGCGAGGAGGGCAGATACTTTCAATTAAGGAAAACTGAGACGAAGACGGAATTGGCAGATTCCACGTTTAGGAATTCTCCAGCACAGGACCAGCGGAACCCATGCTGGAGCATTACCAGTCAGTCACACGCGGAGGGCAGATACTTTCAATTAAGGAACTGAGACGAAGACGGAAGTGGCAGATTCCACGTGTAGGAATTCCCCAGCACAGGACCAGCGGAACCCATGCTGGAGAATTACCAGTCAGTCACACGCCGAGGGCTGGGAATCTTCAGCAAGTCCGGGTAGGATTGGGAAACGACGGAACACAGGTATGCGCCGGTGATAGGAGCTCCGGTGCATACTTCGAAAATCCCCCCACAAATGTGGAGCTGCAAGGACGGCAGTGAGGAGGTCGGAGACTTGTGTAATTCGAATGCCGCAATGGTTATTGGTCGGCGAACGAAAAGGGGGAGGACACTCTGGAGATACTCGCTCCACGGTGGGAAAAAGCGCAGCCCTTGCTGGCAGTCCCCACTGAGACGCAGTTCGTACGCCTATGGCAACGACTGGCCGGCATGCCATCCCAGAAGATAGCCTCGTCAGTTTGGCTTCAACCTTATCTATAGCAGTCCCGACCGCCAAGTGGCTGAATACCACGGACATGGAGGTGCGCTTGGAGTGTAACAGACGCTACCGGCCGGTCGAAATGGCGACGACGGTCGAGGAAACGGTGGCATTGATAGTTAACCACTGGGAGAGGATGTCGGGCAGAAGCGTTTCACAGGGATTGCCAGGTGCCCTCCGGGGGCTCCTCAGCCAAGGTGCGACCGCCAGAAAGGGCTGGGCATACACGGCACAGACGGGAAGAGCCATCAAGATGTGGGTTATTCGGTTGGACAGATGGGAGGAGGTTCCAGGGACATCTGTCAGGACCTCAGGCAGAAAAACGTTTCAGGTCACTTCGAAAGACAGATTCGGGCCGATTGGAGAAAGCGAGTGCTCAGAAGGAACAGAATTGCAGGCACGGGCTTGCCTTCAGAGACAAAGGCGGCTCCGGGAGCTCTTACTGAAACAAATAACGGCAGACTGCAGAGGGCGCCATGGCTAGATAGGTATAGTAGTAGGGTACGGGTAAGTATGCTTAGATGTGGCAACCAGGGCACTCGGTTACCGTTTCTCAGGTGCGGAAGCGGTAGACACCATGTTAAGAAAGAGCAGAGTGTCACGTCTAAATGGAACCAGATTCCTCCCAACCGTTGAGAACGGGTTCATACCGTGCTAGGGCAATTACTGGGTAGGGGAGGCTAGAGGAAACTGGTCTAGGAAGGGGAACCGGGTTTGCAGCTTGGTGGAAGTAACAACTGCAATGAAATGGATTAGAACAGGGAGAAGGGGTTAGCAGAGGGTATGGGAGGGTACAAGGAGTTGCAGAGGGTAGAGTGGTAGATTAGCACAGAGCAACGGTACTACGTGTTCAGGTAGTTGTTTCATTTTGAGCGAGCGACCCGCTTGTTAGCGAACCTGGGCAAAGCTCCCAGTATTACACCGGGTGGAATCTGGTTTTCATTTGCAATATATTAGTCGTCGTGTTGTCAAAATTAAAATTACAAAACATCGGAGGCTCGGCGCTGACAGACCATAACGGCTGGCGGCGCCAGCCAAAAAGGGAAAACGTGCCCCGCTCATGCTTCGGAAAAGCTTGGCGCAAAGTCGAAGGCCGCCAGACCCGGGTGTAATGGTGGCTTAACTTCCGAATCCTTCCATAAACCGTTCACGTGCATCTAATTCAAAAGGGAAGGCAGGATTTAAAAACACTTCATGAGAAAACGACTACTCCCGCATGCAAAATCGATGACGTCCCACTACATTTTCGTCATGCAATAAAGTAGATGGGAGGCGCTACTACTGACAAAATACTCGGTCTTTGTTTTAGTCGGCATCCCTCACCGGTGGCCCCATCCTACTCCCTGACGACCGCCGATTACGACGGGGGGCAACATTCATCCCCTTAATTGGGAGAGGTACCTATTCTTGCAGGGGTCCCCTGTATAGGCCTAGTAGTGGTAGGTAGATAGTGAAAGATGAAATTGAGAGAAGAAAATAGCTTGGCTTTAAAACAAAGGACAAGAAAGGCGCAAGAAGAAAGGAAGTAACACGAAGCTGCGTGTATGAATGTGGCAATGGAAAACAGAGCCAAATAGGTCTCCACCATGATGCCAATGTTAGCCACGCATTCCCAGTCATAAGGGAACTGAGGTCACTCACCCCATCCTCCGGCATCTCTCCCTTTACCTTATTGTCTCTCTTTACCCTCTCTGATTGACCACGCATACAGAGTTAAGGGTTCAACATACAAAGGGGGAAAAACGACATGAATATCTAAGACCTAACGCCGAAGAACAGCCAAATCAGGAAACACAAACAATTAAATTCAAAATAAAAAATAGAATAACCAATAGGGCCAGTTGGTTCTGACGCCCGCTTGCCTTGATCCTGCCCACCCCACTCGATCTCCCAATCCCGCAACCTCTCTCTCTCTCTCTCTCTCCCCATGTCTGAATTTAGACATACATAAAACAAACGGAAACAAAAACACGAAAGGATAGGGAATTTCAAAATCGCAACGAGATGCGAAGAGAACTCGACCCGTCCAAAATGATGCAACCACATACAAAGTCCCAACTGGTTGGACCCAAGCATAACACAAACAAGCAATTGCGCTGAGGCAGGCAGGACAACTGATTGGACCCAAGCATGACTCACAAACAAACAAAATTGCGCTGGAGCAAGAAAAACAACTTCTGAGCAGAAGGTCAACAGGTGCCTTTTCCTTGTCGAAAGAAAATAAAGTGGACCTCGTACATTCGGGGGAGCGAAAAAAATAGGCCGAGTCAAAAAACCCAAATTCAACGCCGACATACACTCGAAGCTCACCGCCGACAAACACTCTTCATCTCCGGAGAGGACATGAGCGTCGTCCCACTCGAGAAAACAGTTGCACGAATCCCTCTCATCACCAGTCCACTCATCTGAACCCACTCAGGCAGACAGTGGGATAGAGATCCCTCCCTCATCTGAACGCACATCCAACTCGCTCGGCCTCCAACAAAAACCCTAGAACATGGCCTTCATGTTGCTGCTCGTCCCAGGCAACCTTAGCTGTCGAGAAAGAGATACCACGCTATACACCCAAGAGATACCCTCGCTCATCGTCGTCGTCTCAACGGAAGTAGCAAGACTACAGCCTGAGAAGAATGACTCAACATCTCTGGAATTAAAAAAAGAGCCGAAAAGCCTTCTTTGATACCCAACTTTCTATGACCTAGGCTTCTCCTTCTTCTCCTTGAAGAGCGCCAACAAGGATACGCCAGAAACCTTCACAACCTTGAAACGGACTCCAGGAATATCTCCGACGGCGTGCCCTTTCCTTCCAAATCCAGAGATCAGGACTTCGTCCTGCAAACACATATACAAGGTGATGAACCACCACAGACACCTATGAGTTCAGAGTCCACACACTTACCACAACCGAGAGATCAAGGCAGGGAGGAACATGGACACCGGAAGGATCATGAAGGCCGAGAGGAAGACCACGGCCAGGAGGAAGACACCGGCCCTTAAGGGGGAAAAAGCCAAGACGGCAGGGAGAAGGGAGGAAGACAGAGGCCGAGGAAAGGGAGAAAGACGCCCTTACGGTGGAAGACAAAATGGCGGGAGCAAAGGAGGTAGAGAAGAAAACAGGCCGGGAGGAAGGAAGGAGAGAAAGGCCGGGAGGGAGAAAGACGAATCCCGAAAAGGAGGGAGAAAGATCAAGAGGAAGAAAGATAGAAGCAACGGGCCGGGAGGGAGGAAGAATCCAAGGGGGAAGGGAGGAAGATAAAGGCGCGGACTGAGGGAAGAAGACAGGCCTGAGAGGGGGTGACAAAGACCGAAGGAAGGGAAGAAAACAGGTCGGGAAGAAGGAAGACAGAAGGCCAGGAAAAAGAAAATGGCCAGGAGGAACACAAACCGGAAGAACTTGAGGGGAAATGAGTCAGGAGACTTAAGGCGCGAAATTGAGTCAGGACAGTGAGGAAGTGCGAAAACCATAAGATGGCGCCGTAGGGCGTTGACAAAAGAACGGCACTGAACAAGGTTCGAAAAAAACACAGACGCGGGCATGACGAGGAAAATGAATCGGAAAAGGTGAGAGAGGGGCGAGGAACAGGAGGACAAGGCGCGGCAAAGTCGAGGGCGAAGTAGGAATGAACGGGAGTGGACAGCAGTAGATTGGAGGGTGGCCAAAGAGGACGCCGTGGGGTGAGGACAACCGAGTTGAAAAGTGAAGAGCGAAGTTCGAAGGCGTCAATAAAAGGGAGTGAGAAGCGAAGCGGACGAGGACAAAGGAGCATGAAAGTTGAGGAAGGAGGGCGTGTGAGGAGAACAGTGACTAGGAAGAGTGCCATTGAACGACGCAAGGAAAGAGACATAAGAAGAGGGGTGAGGAATCTGGCAAGGGAAAGGGAAGAGAACGAATCAACACAACAAGCTGAATAGAACTGCGTAACGGGAAAAAAAGGGAAGACAAACGATGCAGACAGTCAGGAATTAAGTCAAAAGGGGTTCAAGAATCCGAGAGTAGAGAAGGAACAAGGAAGCGATCAGGATGCGGCTAGTAAAAGTAAGAAAACTGAACAGCTGGACAATGAACAAACAAGAAAGGCTACGACCAGAATTCGTAAGACAGAGAGAACCCGATTGGATAAAATAGAGACGATTCAGCACGTAGTGATGAACAACTCAGAGAGTGGAGAACCCGAGGAACACTGAAGAAGCGAAGGCGGCAGAAAACTCACATTCTCCTCGATGAAGTTCAAGCAACCATCATTAGGCACAAAAGCAGCGATTTTCTTTCCGTTCTTGATGAGCTGCACACGACAGCACTTTCGGATAGCACTGTTGGGCTGCTTCGCCTCAATTCCACTGCCACAATTACAACATCAACACAGACACACCCCGCGACAACGTCATTAGGAAGAACATATACCTCAAACAGCGGATATAATAAAAAGATCTGAAAAGAACGCACAAAACACCCCGTTCCGAGCTCCTCAGGGCGACAACAAGCAAGGAAAGGAAGACATTGGCAAGCAACAACACCTGCCGTCTCCACCCGAATAGAATACCCGTCATCATAGCAATTTCACGTATTTGGGGCGCAATTTTATTACGGTGAAATAGACGATAGTCGCGGAACGATTACCGATCCGAATACCGTGCACAACCGAAATGTCAAATCTACACCATCGGCAAATATTGAGATGATCAAAATAGGCAAAGCCTTTCCACGGTCTTTTGAGCAATCAACAGGTTCCAAAATCACGCCAGACATCAACACTTAGCATCCTAATCGACAATTACAACCGTAGGATGCCCTCTTCCTAATCAACACTTGCAACCATAGGATGCCCTCCTCCTAATCAACACTTACAAATAGGATGCCCTCTTACATCTTGCCGAAATCATAAGATGCCCTCTTACATCTCACCGATGCTCTGATCTGATTGTGTGTTCTGAATACAAGAGGATGTCCTCTTACATCGTACCCATACACTGATCCGACTGTGATGTGAATCCAAGACTGCAGGGTTGGAAAAACCGCGATCTTCAGCTCCGAGTTTAAACCAGCACAAGGCGCGAGTTCACGCCCTAAAACCTGCGAGCCAAGTGCTTGCCAGGATACGCGCAGTGAATTTGCGGGATTCAAGCCCGACTGACGGACACGAAATATCCGTGCTGCATATATATCAGGCCTTCCACCGAAACCAGGTAATAAATACCTGCACCTCGACGACTTCCTTCCTGTACAGGTCCTGACATCATCGAACCTAATAATCCGACGAGTAGGTTTTCACACGGCCGGTGAGCGACACAAAGAGAGGCTTACATTTTCTCCAAGACAATTCCCTTGGCATGGGAAGAGCCTGCGAAGGGCTTCTTCCACTCGTTCCCCTGGTGACTTTTCTTGTACGCCTTGTCGGCCCACAGCTGCGTCCTTCTGTGATTTCGCAGCTTGCGCGCAGCTCCCATTCCACGAGTTTTCCTGCAGCCAAGAAGCTAAGTTAGCCGCCGAGAAGAACAACAAATCGTCAAAAAGAAAACCGGCTAGACCAGGAACGATCTCCTTCCATCCCTTGCCATCTGTGGCAATCCTCCGCCTCCAGCTTCCCCATCGTTAACTCTAAAACTTCATGCGTAGGGACGATCCTGTCCATGCCGTACAAATGCGCCATGAACACATATACTGAATACTGTTGGCAAAAATCATGCGCGAGGAAGACTGGAATCAGAGACCGGCAGACGCCATAGCCGTGTAACCCTACCCCATTTTGACGGTCTGTGAACGCTCCTGCCGCCAAGGCTAAGATACTCGGGTGTGGGCGAGAAGAGACCGTCACGGCGTCGCCTTGGAAATATATCGGAACGAGCACCAAACTTCCCGCGGAAAGGTGCTGACACCGGCTTGGTACACACAAACCCGCGCGATCGTTGTTGGCCTCTCTCGGCGCACTCACACAGCGCCCTTCTTTTGCCACATTTTGCAGGGTTTGCTATCCCCCTGCTGTTTGCACTTTTACTACCCGGTCAAGCGGGACTCTCACAGCTGGTTGGCACTTGTCGCGCGCAAAAGTGCTGCTTTTTTTGTTTTTTTGGGTCCGTGAATATCGTCGAAGGAAAACTTTTCGGTCGGAGGCTGAAGCTGTAAACCGGGCCTTAGACACCGCTATTACTCACGGGGGTGGGGCAAGTAGAAAAGGGAGGCGCAGCTATTGGCAAAATGTTTGGCCTGGCCTTTGTGTTAGCCGGCCTCCACCAACAGCTCGCCCTAATGTCCGCCGTTTGGCCTGGCCTTTGTGTTAGCCGGCCCCCAGCAGCGGCCCGCCCTAATGTCCGCCGTTTGGCCTTTGTGTTAGCCGGCCCCCACCAGCAGCTCGCCCTACTCCCTCACCACCGCCATTAGGACAGGAGGCAACATGCGTCCCCTTCAGTGTGAGAGACAGCTATGCTTGCAGGGGGTCACTTGTATAGCCTCAGGTGCACAGTCCCACCAGCGACATGGATTGATCAGATTTAGTCCACATACCAGTAGGATCCGTTAGGGCGGTCTATACAAAGCAGATGGGCCTATTATTCGGCTGCACGGCCCATATTGTTTTTTCATTTAAAAAGCTATATTCTTCTCTCAATTTCACCTCACACTACCTACCTACCGCTACTCCTAATTGTAGGCATACGGGGAACCCCATAGCAGCCAGAACCGTGTTCACGAGAGAACATGAGGGGGCTGCTGGATCCCCCGATCGGCATTGAGCAGAGTCTGCTGATGTTCGCAGGGGAGCGTACCTGAGGGGAGGCACAGGGATTGGTCTTGTTGGCATGGTCCCTGATGCTACCGGCTGTCCCCTAGCCGGTATCACCCACGGCCCAGATCTTTTAAACCACCAGTACCCCGCACAAGTTTTTTTCAGTGTCGAGGCACATACACCGCCATGACCTTAGGGGTTTGGGGAAGGATCGGCCAGAAGGAGGCCGGTAGTGCTTGGGGCCCAGATGGGACCGTCTTTTTAGGCCGGCACTAGATCTTCCACTTGTGCTGGTTTGAAAGGCGAAAGACCGGTATGTATGACCATTGCATGGACGGCAATTGATAACGGAAAAAACTAGATCGAAAAAAAAAAAAGGAAACTACGTGGGAGTCACAAAAATTGACTATGGGCCAAGATACAGTTTTAAATTGCAGTTTGGGCAATGTACACAACCCAGGTTTTTGGGCAGGTAGGGTGCATGAAGTGCAATTGCAAACTGTATTTTGCCCCACATTGCAATTATAACTTGCTTTTGTGACTCTACCGAAGTTAGCCCCCCAAACAAAGGAAAATTTTCAATATGTCCCTGAAATTTCCATTTATTTGTGATTTGTCCCTCCGACGGACGACTTACACTGATTTGTCCCTGGGGCCGCTGAACTCTCGTGCAGGACCCTGTTAATAAAGGTGCAACTTCCAAAATGCCCCTACTAGACCGTCGGTCACATTTCCACGGGTGCCTGTCTGATTTACCCTCCTGCAGAGAATGCATCTTTCTGAGATGCCCTTCGGCACAGAGGGGCAAGGAATTCGAATTCAAATTTTGTAGTACTTTACACCGCCGTGAAAATATAAAGGTTTCACTCACTTCTGCAATCCACCTCATTGGAGTTCATTAATCGTCTGCAGCAACCCAACTTCTTGGACGTCGTTGGAGTTCGTTCGCAAAGGTCAGTATTCCTCCCCTTCTCCCATGTCTCTCTCTCTCTCTCTCTCTCTCTCTCTCTCTCTCTCTCTCTCTCTCTCTCTCTCTCTCTATCTATCTATCTATCTATCTATCTATCTATCTATCTATCTATCTATCTATCTATCTATATATATA